AACACAAAAACTTTGAGTGGGAATGCAAAAACTTTGCGTGGGAACGCAAAAAACTTTGCGTGGGAATACACAACGGAAAAAAAAAACCAAAACATGTCCCCTCCGGGACTCCGTACAAACAGAGAACGGTCAGTCTTTGTAGCACTGTGCGGAAAGTGGCGCGTGCGCGTACACACACACACACACACACACAAAGGCAAAACCGTTATTGCTTTGCCTTGAATGGCAGGAAATAATGAGGCAAACAGTAGGTACAGTTACCTTCAAGCACTACTGCTCAAAAATCTTAAATTTTTTGTGAAACTGTGGTGTGTTAACATGACAGCACTTCAGCAGATGCTACTCGCTAATATGCTAACAGCCGGACTACATGCACGGGGCGGGGCTTCGTTAAACATGCGCGGGACCGCTCTGATGCTCTGAGTCCTGTGACGTCAGACTAGGCTACCGCTATCAGCAGGTCAAAAAAGATGGCGGCGGAGGAGAGCAGGTTGAAGCAACGGTACCACAAAAACAGCATCTTCAGAGAAGGTACGTTATCAAGATTTGATGATACTGGTAACCCAATGTTCGATGGTGGGGTGTTTGGTTTCCATAGTCGCATTTTTATGTTTTACGACGATACACATTAGTAAAAATGTCTGTAGGAAGCTCTGCCCCGCTTCGTCGAATACATCACCCATCGTTTCGCAGCCTGTCGCAAATCAGAGCGTCCTGTACCCACAGCTGTAAAATATCTCTGGGAACATGATGGAAATAAAAGTGAGCGACTGAACGGACCCGTTTCCCGGGTGGATGGTGTGTTGTTCACCCTTCCTGCAGAGAACTGCTGGTTAGCTAACTGACCTGACCCGCCGACTGCTCGACTTGGTTCTGTTCTTTTCAAGAAGCGTTTTGTTTATCGGCTCCGTGTGAAAGCAGACAGGATCCCTGTGGACCATGAGCGAAGCCTGTAGACAGTAATACTGGATTGATTCCAAAAGGCTTACCTTGCTAGCTTCGCGTTAATGACGTGAACGTTGATCTTTTCATTCCACCTTCATTTCCCTGCGTTGGTTTCATCCTGGAGCTTAACTCGTCCAACCTTTATTTAGACAGGTAGATCCCATTGAGCCTCGAGGACTTAACAGAGTTTCCAAGGTCGAGAGCTCCAGATACTAGTTGAGCCAACCTTTGATGGGAGTAGTAATTCCTTACTAACCTAAGTAAGAGGTGTAAATCACCAGCTTTACCGCGATACGATATTATATTGATTTGTTTGACGATACGATTTTTCTCTATATCACAAAGTCTGTCACGATACGATTTTGATTCTATTTGATTCACAAGTCTGCGATCGATATATTGCGATATAAAATGCCCATCTCATTTACATATAAATAAATTTACAGAAACAATTCAAATATAATGTAACCATTTTATTTCTGTTATAACAGGCACCAGGCATTTAAATATATATTTTTTCTTATTTAATGGAAAAAATTAATAAATGACCTGTTCAGTATAGTCTCGCATTTCTCATGTTTAAGTGCATTTTTAAACCAGTTCACTTAAAAGTGACCTTTCAGTTATAAAGAAACAAAAATAGATATTGAGCTTACATAACATGGCTATCAATGCTGTTTCTTCTTCAGGTGAACGGACAAATTAGTTGTTTTTCCCGAGTGTTTGAGCTCCCACTGGCACCTGGAGCATACGGCATGAGTTTTGTCCGTTGAGCCGTTCTTCTGTTGGAATCCAAAATATTTCCACAGAGTTGATTTAAATCCAGCGGGAGAGTGAAGTTCATTTTCTGTATTTTCTGCCTCGTCTGGCATGTTGCTGAGGCGGCCGCGCACGGAAATGGTGACTCAGATGTGCCTTGGAGATTTCAATATAAAAGCATATTTTAAAAATGACGATATGAATCGATGATTTAGTTTTGCCACAATATAATTGAATCCTTAATCATTTAATCAAAATATCGATGTAAATTGATGTATCATTACACTCTTAGTGCTGACCTCATCTCAAACCTGACTGTGTGGTGTAACTGGGTCAACAACGCAGTCCAGGTGGGAGATACAGGGTGGGCTAAAATGTAGCTTTATTATTTTTATTGGATACCTGTGCATGCTCTGCATGATTTATAGTGCTGCTAAAATGATCATAAAGCTAAATAAAACAACACGTGTACACCTTTTCTCTCAGACATGTGCTTATTGAGTCCTGAAAACATTGTAAGCAACATCTGGTTGTTTGTTTGTTTACCTTTGGACCTGACAAGTTACCTGTCGAAATGGCTCGGCGATGGAGTCCGCCATGATCGACTTAAATGTGAGGCTGAAATGTTAAACTTTTGCTGAATTGCAAAATTCTGTGTTCCTCTGGACGGGGACCTAATCTTGGTGCTACCGTGCCAAAGGTCAAAGGCACTGGGAAACTTCTGTTTTGCAAGTTGATCGGCTCACACTGAGATATGCTTTTACAGCTGAGCAGGACTATTCCTCCACAAACATTTGAGCAGAACTCTTGTGCAACATTTCTATGAACTGCCTAAAGTGTTTGACACAGGTGTCAAAATAAAATCAATAGGTGATCTCCAGTTGAAAGTAGGGATGCACCGATCCACTTTTTTCCCCCACTTCCGATCCGATATCTGTGGTTTAGTATCGGCAGATATTGATCTGATACAGAAAAACAGTGCTAAATTAACAAAAATGGCTAAATCATGTCATCTGGACCCGTTAGCCATTTTTGTTGTCTACCTGGACGATTGAGCTCACAAACCCAGTGCTGAGTTAACTTAAAACATTTGTTTTGTTAAATGCAGATATGAATGTACTGAATTACAAAGTTATTGCAAACTCTGCACCATGACAGCACAAACACCAAGAGCTCCACAAGCTCGGTCAAACATGTAAAAACAACACAACTTTGAATTTGTTCAGCCCGTTCGCTAGCACGTGACGTCACTCAGAGCACAAAGTATAGAGTTAGAGTGAATAGATCTGCCCTGTCATGGATCGGTCACGTTGTCACGATACTCCATCCAGAAGGTTTTTTACGATATCTGTACCGATACTGGTATTGGCTCGGTGCATCTCCAGTTTTAAAGTTTTTTTTTGTGTTTTCATGAAAAGACACCAACATGAGCGGCCATGCTGTGATTAAGCTCTGAATTGTTTAAAACGAAACCAGTAGACCCAGTACTGTAACTTGTTTTTGTCTTGGTCTTTCTGAAAAAGCTACATGAGTGGATTTAGCAGCTTAAGAACACCGATGAAGACGAACCGTTTGAGGACACATTTTGTTTAATTGGCGCCCATGTTTGACCTCGACCAGGTCAGCATCTGAATCCCCACCAGCTTTGTTCAGTTTTCCCCTTACCTTTATTTGTTTTAAGCTACAGCATTTTAAATACAAAGCTAAGAGATCTCGATCTTTTTTCTTTGTCCTGTTTTTGATGGCTGGAATTTACCTACTAAGGTTGGAAAACCCATTACATAAAACACTGCAGTGGCCAAAATACTGTCCTGTTCTCAGACTGAAGAAGTCTTTTGGATGAAAGATGAAGCGTTTCAACAAGAATCCGTCCAGAGGATCTGACTCAACCTTGTTAGATTTTTCTACCTGGATTATTGAGCATGCATCAAGACGTTCTGTTCAATGTTCACTTCACTGTAAAATATAAAAATACGCTTAGATTCTTAGGAAAAAACAAAACAAATTGATTAGATCACATGTCAACAAATTCTGACATAGTATGTTTTACAGTGAATTATGTTTATAACATACATCCCTTGACCCTGTCCACATTTTTTTGGATTGTAGAATTTCTGGAGTCAATATTTTTCTATCGTTGTTGACGAAAATAAAGTGCAGCTTTGTTCTGCAAAGTTGTGGAACTGGTGTACACAACGTGGACGTGCAATTTGATGGAAGCGTACATGAAAAATCTATTTGTTGTTTTGTAATCTTTAACATTCTTTTTCAACATTTCACTTCTTTTGGCTTTGCCCTCTTCAAGTGGTCTCCACAGCAATTCCTCCATCTCTGTCCTCTGTCCTCACTCCATCTACCTCCATGTCCTCTCTAACTGCATCCACATGTCTCCTCTTTGTCTTTTTCCTGCAGCTGCATTTCTAACATCCTTCTACCAATATACCCACTGTCCCTCCTCTGGACATGTGCAAACCACTGTCCCTCCTGTGGACATGTGCAAACCACTGTCCCTCCTCTGGACATGTCCAAACCACTGTCCCTCCTGTGGACATGTCCAAACCACTGTCCCTCCTGTGGACATGTGCAAACCACTGTCCCTCCTGTGGACATGTCCAAACCACTG